CTACACACACACAAAAAAAAAAAGGGGCGACATATTCGACTGAGCCGCACAATCGCCTTCGGCGACGAGATTTCGTTGTAAATGCGCTCAAACGGCCCCCCCAAATGCCACGCCTCCATCTTTGGCCAGCGTGCGGCACAGTGTGTGTTTGTGTTGCCACTAAGCCGATTTAGCTGACAGTTCTGCCACAGCAAGAGCAGCAACAATCACGACTACAACATGTTTCTGGAGCATGTCAAATGAGTAACTAGCATGCCCTCCCCCACCCACGCACAACGAACCCTCCCCCACACATCGCCAGATCGTGCCGAGAAGTGTTTGACATCCTTTTACATGACGGGGGCCTCTCGCCACACACACAAGAGGGTGAGGAACGAGTGAGGGGATTCTGATGTGCAAAGTCGCGTTTTAATTTGTAATTCTTCCTGAATGAAATTTAATCCATTTGATGACCTCCGGATAGCAGTGTATCGCAATGTGTGCAGCGGTTATAAGCTTTTCATAGAAATACTGAACGACCCACGACCGACGACCAACGAGCGACGACCCACGACCTACGACCCTAGTGGACTACTAAGCGTCTAGCAGGATGGTTGGACAAATTGTGTCCTTTTCACACTCGTTCAAAGGGAATTTAAAGTAGTCACAAAGTGCACCACACAACGATTAGGAATGATTTATGTATGTGTGTCTGATGGAGAACAGGGTTGCATTTCCAGCAACACAACGGCAACGACAGGGTTGCATTTCAAGCAACAATACGGCAACGACAGGGTTGCAAGTGGGAAAGCTAAGTCAACAGAAAATATGAATCACTTTTCGACAAAGCAAAACTGTTTCTTAGCTACGAAATGGACAACCTATAACCAAAAGACCAAAGAACTGTAAGCCGCATAAACCTCACTTGTTGCTCCCTAAAAACTGCACAGAGCTGCACCAAAAATATTCCCCATTTTGATCCAATTGTCGATCGAACTGATTTATTTTTTGACCACGAATCGAGTCATGATTTATTTAAACAGATTGGGAGGGTCAACCAGCCCCCCCACCCATCCCGTAATTAAGTTTTCAGTTATTCTTGTGAATATTTCATGGCTGCTGGCAGCTGGCTGCTGGCTTCCGCCTGGAAATGTGCATCCGGTGGCTCGAAATGTGCTCGACACAGTTTGCCCCATTTATCTCTGGAGATGGCGGGATGCTGCCAGCAGGCTTCCTTTAGTGCAAAATGGAGCAACCATGGGGAAACGGGGATTCTCCGAAAGCGACGTCAAACGGTTGCTACCCAGTGACCCAGCCACGTCCCCAGCCACGCCCCCGGTTCTTTGGCACTGTTTTCACATACTCTCCATCAAGAGTTTTTATGTTCATACAAAAATTCCCAAAATAAACTATACAAATAATTGATTTATTGTTTCAATAACAACAACAACAACAACAGGCACATCGCCATTTTGATTGCTTTTATGGCGATTTTTACTCAATAAATTTGCCATCCATATGTCTGACATTTTTGTGCGTGATTGCAGGCCCCAAAGGCACTTATTTTGAGATATTTCTCTAGGAGCTGGTGCAGTTCAATGTTTTTCTGATATATAATAAAATAGAATAAAGGTTAACTGTTAATTGGCTTCCGGAGCAAAGGTATCTCGGAATACAAACTGCTACCATGCGAATACAAAATAATTAATTTTCTTTGTTTTCCCAGGAACCAGAACCTGAACCAGCAGACAAACACAAAAGGCCATGTGGTGTCCCTGGCAGCGGAATAGTAATTAAAACCAGCTGCGCCTGATTCCTGCTCACAAAATATACAGTCACCGAGTCAGGTGAACGAGTGTCCGAGCTACTACGAATTTTTTCTTAATTGTGTTTCTCTTCATTTTTATCTCAGAATGCAACTGCAACAGTTACGCGAACGGCCCGGCCCCTTGGCAGTCGCAATCCTCAATGAAAATTATATCAGTATTCGGTGATCTTTGTGGCAGCTCCTCAACTCCTCCATACTCCTCCTTTGTTTTGCTATCTGGGAAAAAAATGAACCCATCATTAAGTATGGCCATATTCTGTGGCCATATTTTGATCCTCATGCAATGTGGCAGCCTAGTGAAGTCGGGCAGCGCTGCCAACAAAATTCCAACTTTAATTAACGCAAAGCTTCAAATAAGAGCCAACAAAGCCAATAAAAAAAATGAGCAACAAAAATGAAACGAATCTAAAAATGTATTGCATGCAACTGCCAGGATTTGGTTATAGTTGCAGTATTTGAAATATTCTTATGGCTATGCGCACAACTTTTTGCTGATCCCTTTTGCTTTGGCTTGAACCAATTTAAGTTTCAAAAACTATTGCCTGCAGTCAGATTGCTCGCTTCCTATTTTGTGGGCATGGCAGAGGGCATGAAAGGCAGCAAAATGTACTAGAAAATCACCAAATCTCATACCGAAATAAGTCTAATAAATAATTTATATATATGTACATATGTTGCAGCTATAATTTATAGTAATTAGTGGCAAATAATTCTATATATTACATATGTGTTTTTTAGCATACAACATATATTGGAACTTGTTCTAGTGTTGGGAAAAACAGTGAATGGTGTATATGAATGAATGAATGAATCATCGAACCGAAGAATCTTTTCAAACCAAATAATTCCAAATATAAAATAAAAAGTGCAATAAATTAAAGCCAAAAAACATATATAACATGAAAGCTAAATGAAAGCTAAAGAAAGTTCGTTGATTGATGATCGATGATTGACGAATTATCCTACAGCATTTAATGTTATTTTGGCATTTTTGATTGGTTCATTGGGTGGAACCAGTAGCAGCGTCTCCACTCTCCACTTACCAATCAGAGTGCTGTGCCATTCAATCGAGTGTTCACTGTAGCCGCAGCGTATCTCATGCTGTTCATTTCGATCATAGCCAGTGGGGGATGGGGCGCGCTCGCAGCATTTTGTTTATGCCCAGACCAGCCCTTCCCTTCCCTCCACTACACTCCGCTCCGCTCCTCTCTTTGTTTAGACACTAGCTCCAGCAGGCGATAAACAAACTGTTTCGGGGTATGGGAAATATTTGCACACTACAAATACGCCCCATAGCCACAACGGACTGGTGCCCGGCGCCCGGTGCCCGGTGCCCGGTTGCCGGTGTTCGACAGAGAGCCCAAAACGCATCCGCATCCCTGGGTCGTCGCATGCAAACATTTAGTTGTGCCTCAGTCTGTGGTCTGTGCACGATGACGACAAGTGGTAAATGGTTGCACTCACATGTCCCTGTCGGTTCGGTCCCGTGGCCCCCAAAAACACAGGAGCCGGCAAGATGCCTGGCACAGATGTGACAGTGCCGCAAGTGGCACAATTTGATTCCCAGAACGTTTAAGAACCAGCAGGGGGCAGGGTCGGGCCGGGATCTCTGTATCTCTGTCTGTGTCTGCTCCAATAATGAGTGGAGGAGGTGACGGAGCAGGTGATGAAACATGTGACCAGGCAGTCGCTCGTCCGTCCGCCGTTGCAGTTCATTAGACAGTCAGGAGCGCTTAAAGGCGCTGCAGCTGCACAGCAGCACAAAAACACTTCACGACAGCCCTTTGGACACTGCTAACGAGCACAGACAGATATATATATATATATACAGATGCTACCAGATAGACACACACACAGACACACACAGAGACTCGAAATATAAATACAAAATGTCATTTCCTTTCTTGGTCTTGGGTCTTGGGTCCCGGGTCTTGGTTCTTGGGCATTCCACATCCTGCCATATATACGATGCAGATGCAGGCAGCAGAAGGAAAATGAATGCAATTTTTTTTTTTTTTTGCGGAGAAAATGGAAATGGCAGCGGCCAGGGGTTAAGTGTGGCGTGGGGGGAGTATTTATCACACAATGGGAACGAACGGAACCCTAGATATTTATACAGTGAGTGGCATGAGTAAATATTTGGCTCGCCAATGATTAGGATATTCGGATATAGATATGCCGCAGCCAATGCCAATGCCACTGAAAAATGCAGAGCAGCATCAGCAAATACCCTGGAATTACCCTACAGTTCTTTAAGTTCGGATGCCCCCATTTGCCTTCTGGTTTTCCGTGATGCCCGGGCTAGAAAGGCATCTTCCACATAACATTTTGAGATGCAACTAAATTCAGTTGCCCCCATACATTGCGCATTGCCTTTATAAATATTTAGAACTGAGAGTGGCATCTGCGGATGCATTTTGTGGTGTGCCACACAACAAGCTATGACACGGACAGCCAAATAAATTTTCTATATGGCGATCGCATTTTGGATTTTGATTTTTTTTTTTTTTGGTGCAGTCAATCAAACCACAAAACGAAACAAGACGGTAGAGTCAATAGAAACAAAAAGTCACTAAAAAGACTGAATTTTCTCCAGCAAAAGATGAAAAACTAAATAAAGATTTTCCAGGGACAGGGTCAATAAACAGTTGGGGAGAAAATTGCATTCTGAAGTTTGGCCAAATTGGAATCTAAATCAAACGAACGAAACTATGGAATGCCCCAAGGCTATAAACTACTCTAGCTTTTTCCAATAAAATCTACAGAGAAAAGGTACTCCAATAAAAACTGGAAACTAGAAATGCGGCAATTGGGGAAAAGACAAATGCAAGTCACTTTTAATGGAAGTCTTTCTGAAAATTCGAGCCACTTGAGGACACAAAAATTGCCATTATTTTTGAAGTGCAGACTCTGATCTATGCTTTGAAAACTACTCAGATTTTGTCCATTGAAAACTGCACCAAAACTGCCAAAACTAATTATTATTATTATTTGTCGGCATTTGCCAAAGGCAAAAAACCAAAAATGCAAATACACATTTAAATAGTATTTCCAGGGAACTTTGGGCAAACATTTCTGATAATTTGCGGGCAAATAATTGGGTTTTTTGTTGTTGTTATCATCTCTGAAATTTGTAATTGGCATTCAAACTGCTTAAACAGTCTTTGGGCCATGGGCATAATGGAACACTCACCCAACTGTGGCCTCTGGCGTTTGGTTGTCCGGCTTTGCTCTTCTTCTTCTGTTCGATGGTTTTTTTAAATATATATTTGAAGTGTTCAAGCTTTTATTGTTTTTTGGATTGTAACTATTTTGTGGCTTATATTTTAGTTGAGAATTTGTAGTATTTTCTGAGACACTCGCGAGCACAATAACAAAAAGAATTAATAAAAATTGACTGGTTTTGGTCTTTGAAAAACGTTTTCCAAGCATACAAGAACAATTTTTGAACAGAATAACCACCAATAACGGTTTTGTCTTTTGTGAACTGCTTGTGCACTGCTTGGCGCTGCTTCTGCTTCGTAGCGTGCGCCACGAATGCCGAAGCCGTTATGACAGAATCTTGCGAGCATCTGAACAACTTATCCTTTCCGACGGCACGCTTTGGCCAAAACGTTTTGGCCGTGTTCGTGCTCGTTCGGGCTCTAACTCGTATTCGTACTCGTATTCGTACACTCGTGTGTGGGTGCAAGTGCAGGCCACGCGATAGCTGGGCTGCATGCTCTCTTCTCCCGCTCTCCCGCTCGCCCACTTTCTCTCTCTCTCTCACGGTGTCTGTCTGTTTTGGACACAGCTCTGAGCTCTCCCTCACACTGCTTGGATTGTAGGTTGTACCGTTTGTTTGCCTATTTGCTTACTGTTTACAGTTGTTCGCAGGGGCGGGCAGGCAGACAGGCGGCCGGGGAATAAAAATGAAAATAAATTCCCGGCTACAACAAACGCACACACATGCAAATGTGAACACACAACGCATGCAAATTCGTCAAAATCAAAATATCCTTCAATCTATGTATGTGCTACCCTTCCAGCCATCTATCGCTATTATGGAAGGTGAAGGCAGAATAGTCATTGCCAAGGTGGTCCAAGCCAAAGCTTGAAAACCCAGCGAATCCCAGACAGCAGCCCGACCCCGCCTCTAGCAATAAATAACATAATGGTCATTGAAGGAAAGCCTTCACTTTCCACTTTTCACTTCAAATGTGGTCAAGGAAGAACTGAACTCCTACTAAAGTTTAGGGTATTTGAAAGGGTATTTAAAAAGTGCCCCACTCGAGTGTCGAATTCTCTTGAAGGAGTTTTTTCTAATTGGGTTTCAACTGCATTCCCAAGACCCATAAATGTAGGCAACATTCAGCGTCAAGCAAGATGCAACCCCAAAGGCTGCAGCGTTTGTGCCTTCGCTTACCTTGCCTTACCCCATGCTGCCCCTCTGCTCATCCGTTTACCCTCTCGGGTTCACTTTACTCTCACATAAGGTATTGGCCTGGCCTTTCTGCCGAGAGGACTGCCAATCCCTCACTTGTTCACGATCAGCCTCAACAGCTGTCGAAAGTCTCTCAGTTTTGGGAATATTTTTGGCTAATATTTCAGACAGTTTGTTGCACATTCTATAGGGGAAAACCTGGCTCATTACGCAGTATTTCTGCAGAGTGTAGCAGCTCTGGCCTCCAGGCATTGCCTCTTGTTAATCTCAGTGGAGTGGGGTTTATCATTTATCCACTGGGTTTGCTGGTACCGTTGCATCCATGCCTTTGATGTGAATGCACGGACACGTTTGGTGAATTATATTGCAACTTGCAGCGCAGATTCGCAGATCTGCTGCTTGCCGCAGCACGTGACTAACGCCGGCGCTGCAGCCGAACACAGCGGCTGCACTGCCCATCTCTATATATAGGCATACAATTTATTTCCTGTGTGCGGCAATCGGAGGGGGCAACACATATCTGCCACAAACAAGCCGACGATTATTTTGGGCGCGTTTCAATCTGCCTGTCAAAGGCACACGCCAATATGTGCCCACGTCAATGTGTGGCAAGCACAATGGCGGCACTGTTGCAGCATCCACATGAGTAACACCAAACGACCGACGTCAGTGCCCTTAACATTGGCCTAGTCACGTTTCCTCTGCTCGCATTTCGTGGCGTTTGGCATGGGGCATGGCGTGGCATTGCGTCTCCTATTCGTACTCTTGTTCGCTTCGTTTCGCTTCAGTTTATTTCGATTCACTGACGCCCATTTGCCTGTCCTGTGCACAGGATATGCCTTCAGGCATATTCGGACTTTGTGTTGCTCTGCTTTTTAGGCCGCTTACAGGGCATCACCGTGGTCTGCAGCTGGCGTAATGAAAGGAAAAAAAACGAGCAAAAGACAAGGCCTGGCTAAGGCTGAAGCACCAAACACCCTTTATAGAACGACGACAGCCAACAGTGGGACTATAGTAATTTTATTTCAGCTAGGGTAAGACTCTCCCGTAGTCGAAATATCTTTAGAATTATGAACATATTCACAAATATTATTTTTCAGAATTTTTAAGCATTTCAGCCTCTGAAATGTAGCTGGATTTTTCATGGATTTTTTACCACCACAACTACTACTCTGAGTTTGCCATTTTCTAAACCCGCCAACCCGTTGGGCAGTGTATACAAATTGGAAGCAAAAAAAAACGGTGCCAACATCGGCCTGTAGTGTTTAATTACGAGCATAGTCACTCACTGAGGGAACGGAACGGACAGTCTGTCTGCCTGCCTGCCTGGAACACCCCACTCTCTGCATGTAATGCGTTTAAATGTGTGGGGCTTCTGCCCAGCACGCTCATAAATCAAATGCCAGAGCACCAGCAATCCGCTCATGGATATTCGTGGTGTTTGCTTTGGCTGAAATCAGAAATAAGGAAGCAAAGTCAAAGACAGCCAGGAAAAAGAGTTCGAGATGGAGAATCAGAGCAGCAACTCTCTGATTTGAAGCTATTTGCAGGAAAGTATTTTAGACACTTCTTAAAGCACCCCCAAGGAAATACCGTACTTTGCACACCCTTGAGACCCATTCAATGCTCCTTTTTAGCCAGCACAAAAAACTAGTCTGAGCAACCAATTCGCAGCTGTTGTTTGATCATTCACTGTAGTGCCAGAGACTGACATAGAATAGAACCTGAGGCGACCCTGAACCAGGGGTCTATCCTCTATCACCGACTTATGGCCCGGCTTATCTGGGGCACTAATGCAAAAAATATTTACAGATTTGTTTAATTATTTTTCCCCGCTGGGGTTTATTTACACGGCCGACGCGTCGTTGGGGGTACTTGGGGGGGGCCTGGAGGTCCGAGGGAGCACCGAGATCAGGCGTCGCTGAGTGTCGGAGTGGAACTGAAATGGAAATGAGAGACAACTGCAAACGATGCCCATCCAAAAGAAGCGGCGGCCATGCCGGCGGAATGCTGTAATGAGTAGCAACAGGTGCACTTGCAGCAAAATGAGTTACATTTCCTAGCATAGTCAAGAGAGCGAAGATTTGGTACAATGCGGCCATCATTCCATTTCTCACGGTGTATAAAATCAAGGTCAGTGCGAGACGAGAGATTTTTACACTAACAACAAAACACAGAACATACAATAACAAATAAAGAGAGAGAGAGAGAGAAAAAGAGACAAATAAAAGAAGAAAATATCACCAGCAAGGGGAAGGTGCCACTGCAACAGATGGCAGCATGGAACTGGAGTGCACGTGGGCAACACTTCAACGATAATCTATGCAGATGCATTGGCATTTCTCAGGTTCATTTAAAAATTTACTAAATTTAATTTAATAATTTAATAATACTAAATTTGATTGTTTGTCTAAGCGATATATTACTGTATTTATTTAAAGCTTATCGCGTGCTCATCTTTTTAATCGAATTGATTCGAACTAGGGAACATCTGAAATGATCATAGATGTGTGGATTTTAATACTTAAATTCTCATTTATTAATTATTATTAAACACTTCTCAGCAGCAGAAACTATTGTGAGCCGAAGGGCAGCCTGGAATTGCAACTAGAAAAATGAATAAATAAAGTAATAATAAATAATAATAACTAAAAAAAAAAAATGCAACTAAAAGAATGAATAAATAATAATAATAATAAATAATAATAAATAAATTGCAACTAGAAGAATGCATAATATATAATAATAATAAATAATAATAATAATAATAAATAATAAATAAATAAATAAATAAATTGAAACTAGAAGAATGAATATATAATAAATAATAATAAATAAATATATTGCAATTAGAAGAGTTTTATAATTTTTTTTTTTTTTGAAAATTTTTTTAGTTCTTCCAGGCTGCCCCTCCTTTTATTTTGCAATGGACATTTTGCTATCCTCAAACTGATGCAAAGAGCAGCAGCATGGCAGGAAATGTCCGCACTGAAAGATGCTTGCACAAGATAATTTCAAAATGAAACAAAGTCAAAAAAAATTATCCATAAAGTTGGGCAAGGTGCCGACTAATTGAGTCGCTGCTGGCACTTGGCAGGTGGCAGCTTACATTCGGCAATGGATAACTGTCATTTTATCATTCACACGAACAACTGTGCTCACCCAGCTAGCCCTTGGATTAACAGGGTACGAGAAGGCGTCTGAAACAAAAGGCATCGCAGCTGGCGACATACCATGCCCGTGTCCTACCGCTGCCCACCGACCTTTTACCATCCATTCAGTTGAATGCAAATCTAAAGCTGTGGGCTGTGGGCTCTGGTATGCTGAATATGTCTAACAGAAAGAGACATCTATGAGCGGAGAGTTCTTCTGTTAACTTTACCAAATTCATAATAAAATATATAATTATACGAGCGTTTCTATTAGTTATCTATATTACATTAACATAATGAAATAGTGTGGAAAATTTTTTACATATTGCAAAAATATATTTAACCGTATGCCAATTTAATTTAAATATATAATTACTATATATTTATCGTATAATTTTCTGGAACTTGCCAGTGCAGTGTATTTGTTGTTTCGGCTTGCCTGCTGGCTGTTTTTGCTGCTGTTTTGAGTGCAGCTTGAAACGCTTGCGTGCATTATAATAATCAGAATCTTTTTCTATTCTGTGTCATCCCCATCGTCATGAAAAGCCGCTGCAGCCACCTGCCACCCCACACAGCCCTACCCTGACAGCTCCTGCTCTACTTATCCAACCCCCCATCTGGATTCAAATTCACTCTTTATTTAAATATCTGTCTCACTCATTTCTGTAGGTACTTTTTACATTTTAGTGAGGGCTGCGCATAATACGATTTATTTCGATTCCGTGTACTGATTTTTAAGTGCCCCCGGAATTCTGCGACTCCTGGCTAAAACGTTTTGATGCATTTCATTTTTGTATGCCATTCGGCAGCTGCAATTTTTGCTCTCCAGGTGAGCAAACATCGGAATAGAGGGGGAAAACAACTTCCTGGGCAAATGAAGCGTTAAATTGACTGTCAGCGAAGGGTCCTCCTCCGGCCACAGCTGCTGCAACTCCTGGGACACAACTTCAGGAGCAACGCAAACTTTAAGATTGAAGTGGGGGTTTGGCTTGTGAAATGGCCCTTTTGATGGAAATTCCTACAAAATTATACAAAACGGAAGGAACGGTGAGTCGTTTCTGGGGACACCCTATACCCGTACTCAGTCAATATATACATACACTTTTAGCTTATGTTTTTAGATTTTAGAAAAAAAAAATACTTTTACATTTTTTTGCTACATATGTTACTACATTAAAATGTTATTTCCCCTGTAGTTGTCTGTTCCATTCATATTCTACCTCCTCCGCTGGGGTTGCCACCAGGTGCGAGCGGGAAGGAAATGGTTGGCTGTAGGGAGGGGGGAACTGTTTCCGGTATTATGATCGATCTGATTGAGTTCGGCACTGGTGATATGGTCTTCTCTGCTACGTTT